TACCTAAAACAAATTTCCTACCTCTGAAGCTTTAAAGTATAACATAAGATTGGCTGGAACACTGGGATTCTGCAGATTTACAAGCACACGTGATAAAAGCTCCAAAAAGTCTAGACTTCAAAGTTTTCTGAGTCAATCTTTAAGTAAAACTCAAACTCCAGAATGATGTGCCGTGTTCAGTCTGTGGCTTCAAGTATCCCCTCGTAGAGCACCACATACTCCCAAGATCTACACACTCCAGTCTGAGAAGCATAACCCCAGGTAACTTATCAAATAAAGCTACAAACTCTTTTCTATGGTTCAATAGCACACACTAAACACATTTGTGGACTTCCTAAATTTTATCTTTTCAAAAAGTTATTCCAAAACCTGTGAGCAAAATTAATATGACAGAAGGTAGTTTTTATCTGTTACGAAACAACAAAGTGTGAGAATTGGACTGTGAAAAAAGCTGAGCACCAAAGAACTGATGCTTTTGAATGTGGTGTTGGAAAACTCTTGAGAGTCCCTTGGACTGCAAGGAGATCCAACCAGTCCATCCTAAAGGAGATCAGTCCTGGGTGTTCATTGGAAGGACTGATGCTGAAGCTGAAACTCCAGTACTTTGGCCACCTCATGAGAAGAGCTGACTCATTGGAAAAGACCCTGATGATGGGAAGGATTGGGGGCAGGAGGAGGAGGGGACAACAGAGGATGAGATGGCTGGATGGCATCACCGACTCAATGGGCATGAGTTTGAGTAAACTCCAGGAGTTGGTGATGGACAGGGAGGCCGGGCGTGCTGCAATTCATGGGGTCGCAAAGAGTTGGACACAACTGAGCGACTGAACTGAACTGACTGAAAAAACAAAGGGTATATTTCAGAAAAATCAAAGTTCAGAAGAGGCGGAATGTGCTTCCTAGTGGAGACTGCTGAGCAGCAAATAACCACAAAGATAAAAGTTTAAAGCTTTATGAATTCTCACCACCAGTCCCGCAATTCTGTAGTCATGAGTCACATTACTGATTTGAATTAAGTAGGAAAAGGCATGTCTAAAAATAGTAAGATTCTTGAATTACAGAATTTTGGAAAGAAATGTGATTAATTTTATTTAGCTCCAATTGCACACAGTAACCAGAATTAAGCCTCAATGGGTTAGCACAATAGAGCAGCTTTAAAGTGATGGTGGAGATGAATTGGATTTATGCTAGGAATTTGTTCCTGGAGACTAATCTTCACCAGGAGCAGGCATTTCCGTTTAACATCTAAAGTGGCACAGATTCCATTCACCAGGACTGCCAAGTTAAACAATTCTTTAAATTTTTTTTTCAATTTATGGGGGTAATTATTATTTCAAATATTGTGTATAAATGAGATTTTATTGTTACCTTGTATGTTACCATTTCAGAGTCACACAGTTCAAGTTTTCATAAAGTGTGAACATACTGCATATGACATATTTAAAGTCAATGAAAATAGTGATTCTCCTAGGTTCTTAGTCCAGTGTTAATTTGCTTAATGATCCCCTCCTCCGCAGATGAATCAGAGAGAGGTGTGAGTTTGCCTCCATCTGTCCATCCAACGTTGAAGAACACTTCCCAGCAGAGGAAGAGCCTGGATTACTGACAGTGCCCAGAGTCCCTGGTGGTAAGCAACAACCAGGAGAAAAGAGCGTTCTCACAGCCAGCAGACCAGCTCAGGGACACCCTGCCCACAGCCCACACACCATTCCTTCACCATAGACATGACGGGAGCCACGGTGAACAGAAACCGCGTTCCCAAACAGACGACGGCCCTGGCAACTGACAGAGGTGAGCCCACTGCTGAGAATCACCAAATGTCTGAGAAAATTCTGTAGCGGAAAAGCAAGGCACCAACTCTATAGCAGAAGAACATTCACATAGAGAAACCACATATAGAAAGAAAAGCCAGTGTTTCCAAAACGAGATGCTCATTTTCTTTGGAAGGAGAAAGAAGGATATCACACCGATAAACAAGAATACACATTTTTTTTTCCATTTCCTACAAATGAAAAAGTAAAATTGTAAAAGTTAAGAATTTAAAAGTGAGGTGATAGAGAATACAAAAAAAATAAAAAAAGAAGAAAAAATCCAAAAACATCTAGGACAAAAGCGTAATTCCTAAGAAGAAATAGGTCCAGATAGACCCTGGTGTCTCTTCAGCAACACTGCATACAAGGAGACAAGGAAGCAGTATCTTCACAGTGATGAGAGAAATGATTTTTTAACCTAGAATTCTATACCTGGCCAAATGGTCATTTAACTGTGAAGGCGAATGAAAGCTTCAGAAAGCTCCTCAGTCTTGAGCTCTCTCTAAAAAATTGTTAATGACGATTACCAGCAAAACTAAAAGAGAACGCAAGAAACAGACATAAGTATAAGAAAGAGTGATGAGCCAAGAAAGAAATACGACTTATAGATAAGCTTAAGTAAATGCTGATCATGAAAATAATTAACAACCCAGAATGGAATTATGGGTAGATCTCAACAATTAAAGTGCTAGGAGAGTAGGAAAGGCAAAGTAAAAGTGTGCTAAGGGCGCTGCCTGAGCAGAAGAGGGCCAGACAAGCAAGAGGGAAGAAGATTAGATGTTGAGAAAAAGCGCAGATGAGCTTAAATATCTGAATTATATCACAGAGAAGTCTTTACACCTTGAGAGAGAAAATAAAGCAGCAAAAACAACAACAAAGAGGACAAACAAACAAACAGCAAGAAAGGAAAGAAAATAGAAAATATGATAAATGGAAAAAAAAAATAGAGAAGAACAATTGCTCCAAACACTATTACAGTAACTATAATAAATATAAATAGGTTAAAGTAATTAATTAAATATCAGGGACTCTGAGTTTGGCTACAAAGGCAAAAGCCAGCTATATTTTATTCACCAGACCTATATTTAAAAACAAAATGACACAGGGCAGCTGAGTGAAGAGATTGAGAAACAGAAACTAGATAAAGGCCAAGGGGGCGGGGGGGAAACAAACAGCAAAAACAGTTTCAGGAAAGTTGGGATGCAAGAAGAAAAGTATTAAAAAGGACAGTGAGGAATGTTTCCTATTGATAAATGATATAATTCACTTGAGCAACCTTGATAACGACTTGAGCATCCTGGATAACAAAGCTCTTGCCTGTTATTTTTGAGATCTTGTCATCATCAAGTCGGGTATCTGTCAGGTCAGTGAACAAAACAAATAAATCCTCAGCCTTCATGGAGCTTTTGTTCTGGTAGAAGGCTGACAAGCAAAAAAACAAAAAACAAAAAAACAAAAAAACAAAAAAAACTAGTAAGGAAACTATATAGGATCAGATGCTAAAACAAATACATAGGGAAGGGTGTCAGGGAACACAGTTTCAAGTCGGGTTCTAAGAACAGATGGCCTGACTGAGAAGGGGATACGTGAGCAAAGGCCTTAAAAGAGCTCAGAAAGCAAGTAGGCACATTTCTGAAGAAAGAGAATTCCAGGCAGAGGGCACAGCAGGAGCCGGAGTGGGAAGTGGGCTCAAGATGGGAGAGGTAGTCAGTAACGGGGGGAATAAATAGACATCCATGGAGCACAAACTGATGTCCCCTCCCCACGTGACTTTAGGACATCACAAAATAAAACACACGAGATGAGCTACCTGAAAAATGATACAACCTGAAACATTACTAAAAAGAACAGAATTTTAGAAATGTGTGACACTCAGTCAAGGAGACCTGAATTTAGTCCAGAGATATGCTACTAGATTGTGACTACAACTAAAATAGCTTAAACCTATTCAATTATATCTTACCAACTGTGATGGAAGACAGTATAAAAAGAGAAGCGCTTAAGTTCAGGGATCTAACGGCATGGTGATTGTAGCTAATAATACTTTTACATGTACCAAATACTTAAATGTTGCTAAGAGAGCAAATCTGAAATGTTCTTAGCACAAGAAAGAAATGGGAACTATGTGATGAGATGGACGTGGTAGCTGGTACTATGGTGATAATCATTTTGGTGACATCATTTATAAATGTGTCAAAGCAACACATATACCTTAAATTTACACAATGTCATATGTCAATTATATCTCGATAAAGCTGGAGAAAAAAAAAAGAGAGAGAGAGAGAGAGAGAAGGGCATGGTTTGTGTGCTATTCATGAAACAGGCACTTAGGAGACGATATGTGTTGATATATTTCCGGCAAGGTTGTGGTTGAGAAGGCACTGATCAGTAGACTTGAAAAATGAGTTTGTTCAGCAGATGTATTTTTCATTCTAGTCATAAAGATAGAAGTACCTGGGGATACTTAGATCACTAAAATCACCCAATGATTTCAGGAGCAGAAAGCCACCTTATCAGTAGTGGTTTCCCATAGACTCCCTATAGGAGTGGGTGCTCATCTCAGGACTTGAGCATCCAGTACCAAGGAGACTTCACCAACACAGATTAATAAAATGGCACTCGGATTTATTCACAATTATTTATTCTCAGGTGAGTTTGGTTTGACTAGTCAGCAGCCCAGAACCACCTGGATATGCAGAAACAAAAGGGACCTAAGTGAAGAGCCAAGTTTTGAAACAGAGTTATTACCTTGAGGGTAGAGTTGGGTCAGTCAGACTTAGACCTCCCAGGTGTCACAGTCCTCCATCCGTCTAACCACAGGCGTGAAATACTGTACTGAGCAAACAGCACTGGACTTCACAGTTAGACAACCATCTGGGACTCTGCCACCACTAGCTACCAACCCTGAGCAGTGCTACTTGGTCTCTTCAATCCTCAGAGATTTACATATCTTTCAAAATGGGAGTAGTAACAGCTATTCTATCCATCTCACCGGTTTGTTTTGAGACTCAGTATCTAAATCTAAAACAAACAAGCTGTAAGAAGAGAAAGTATTAGTGCTACCATCAACGCATGCCCTGCAGCCTAAGTATATAATTGATAGACTGGAGCGCATTACCACAATTATCTGAGAATTGAAGGCAAGATGAAAAACCACTAACCCACTGAACAAAATATAGGAAATCCTACCTCTCAGCAACTGGTTTGGCAATGTTTTCAAAAATGGTCTCTTGCTTTGCATCCTGATCAAAAATCCTTTGAAATCTGCAAATGTGAAAACAATAATTATTTAAAAGCTGAGCCTTCAAACACTATTGGATTAATCCATTTTTTTCCTCCTAAAAGCTCTGTAAATTACCCCATATTTACATCATTAGGCTTACCTAACCTAACACAATGTTTGCCCTGTAGCCCCAAATACACTGAGCTCTTGTACCCCTGTATACAAATGGTGGGTAAACAGTATTGCTTTGACAAGATCTGCACAATAAATCCCTCTGAAAAACTGCAGCAGCTTTGAACCAAATAATAAACTGTGTGTTTTTTAGCTCTCAAGAGGGACAGTGTCTGCAATTGGCATCAAATTCAGATCGAGATTAAGTGCATGAAATGAAAACCCAAGAACAGGACGTAAACAGCCAAAGAACTTCTGATGTCTGACCTGTAAGAAAAACATGCAGCTGTGAAATGCATGATTATTGAACTTAGTTGTAATGTTTTGAAGTTTATCTTCCATTAATTACCGCATCCTAGGTTCAGCTACTTAACTCTCAGGATAGTTTGTTTCATTTTGTTGCTCAAAGTCAAAAGTCAAACAGTACATTAAAATAGAGCTGTACTGTAAAGGAAATCTTGATCTGACTGGCACAGTGGGGGGACTGGGGAGACAGGATGGTGGCCACAGCGCCCTTATTGCAGTGGCATCTGACTTAGCTCAGGGCAGGATCATAAGCACTGCCAAACACCTGAGGAGATGCACTGTGCTGTGCTTAGCTGCTCGGTCGTGTCTGACTCTCTGCCACCCCATGGACTGTAGCCCGCCAGGCTCTTCTGTCCATGGTGATTCTCCAGGCAAGAATACTGGAGTGAGTTGCCATGCCTTCTTCCAGGGGGATATTCCCAACCCAGGGACTGAACCCAGGTCTCCCGCATGGCAGGTGGATTCTTTACTGTCTGAGCTACCAGGGAAGCCCTGAGAAGATGCACAACCCACCTTTATACAGTCTGTTGACTCACTACCACCAAGTATGGCCCCCATTTCAAACATCATGCAGAGAGAGGCAGCAAGACAAATGGTGGAAGGAAAGGTGAGAAGCGGGGAAAAGACAAGGAGAAGACGGAGACAGAGAGAGAGAGGATATGAGTGTACAGGGCAAAACGTCAATAACTGGTGACACTCCCACAAAGGGTAGAGGAGATTTGATTGCATTATTCCTCCATTTCCTCTGCATATTTAAAAGTTTTCGAAATAAAAATTGAGAGGGGGAGGATGTTAGAGCAAAGCCTTTGAAACATACACGTCCAAAGCAGTTTTCAAAGTGGTGTGTGTGTCTGCCCACACAAGTGAATTGGGCACGAGTTCAATTAAAGTAGAGATGACATGAAATGTAGGTTTGTTTTCACTACTAAGGAGCTCAGAAGGATGTCTGGAGCTGGATTGGAAATATAAAATGGAATGAATTTCACTGTCTTTCAACAACATTCATTTCAAAAGATTCCTATAGCATAACAACCACCCTCTTGAAGCAGCAAATAATGAAACTATATATAAAGAGAGATTGTAAGGCACTCTGGGTACTCATTTAGCAGACAGGATTATAATTTAGCAATATTTACTGAGTGTGCCCAGAACACTCCTCGAAACCCCAAAGGTGTTTGAGGGCTTCAGATATGAATATTGAGATAACGCGGCTGCTCAACTATTCTTTGGAGAATTGCCCACTGTGATGTCTAAGCAGGGACCCAGTGGTGCTTTTCGGTGATGACGATGCTTCTGAGGTTGTTTTGATTCTTTTACCAAGTTGGTGATGGCTGAGTAAATGAATCAGTCATTCCCAACCCCACTTCCTTACACTTCCCTGGGGGCTCAGATGGTAAGCAATCTACCTTCAATGCAGGGGACCTGGGCTTGATCCCTGGGTCGGGAAGATCCCCCTAGAGAAGGGAATGGCTACCCACTCCAGTATTCTTGCTTGGAGAATCCCATGGACAGAGGAGCCTGGTGGGCTACAGTCCATGGGGTCCCAAAGAGTCAGACATGACTGAGGGACTAACATACATACACAACCCCACTTCCTTAAGGGGAATGACATCTACCACCGTGTAAACCAAAGAGATGGGAGGAGGTTCAATAAAGCATACATTGTGCACTAAACATCAAATATCATCACTCTCAAACACCTTATTTTATATAACAGAGCTATATAATAATCTGGAAATTCATTATGATCAGCTGTCTTCTGAAAGCCACTAAAAAGCAAAATAAAATCATAGAGTTTAAGAGGTTTAACCTAATCCTTTCCAGAGGAAGAAACGGAGGCCTGGAGAGAGAAAGCAATTTACTCCTGGTCCTGGAGCTAATCTACAGTGTGCCTTGAGACATAACTTAAGTTTCCTGATTCCAAGCAGGTCCTTTCATTTATTAGGAGGTCATGTTATTGCTGTTGTTCAGTCGTTCAGTCATGTTCGACTCTTTGCGACCCTATAGAGTGCAGCATGCCAGGCTTCCCTATCCTTCACTATCTCCCAGAGCTTGCTCAAACTAGTGTCCGTTGAGGAGGTGATGCCATTCACCATTTCATCCTCTGTTGTCCCCTTTTCCAGCCTTCAATCTTTCCTAACATCAGGGTCTTTTCCACTGAGCCTGCTCTTTGTAACAAGTGGCCAAAGTTTTGGAGCTTCAGCTTCAGCATCAGTCCTTCCAATGAATATTCAGGGTTGATTTCCCTTAGGAGTGACTGGTTTGATCTCCTTGCTGTCCAAGGGACTCTCAAGAGTTTTCTCCAGCACCACAGTTTGAAAGCATCGATTCCTCAGTGCTCAGCCTTTTTTATTGCCCAGCTCTCACATTCATACATGACTACTGGAAAAACCATAGCTTTGACTATATGGACCTTTGTAGACAAAGTAATGTCTCCATTTTTTAATACACTGTCTATATCTGTCATAGCTTTTCTTCCAAGGAGTAAGTGTCTTTTAATTTCATGGCTGCAGTCACCATCTGCAGTGATTTTGAAGCACAAGAAAATAAAGCCTATCACTGTTTCCATTGTTTCCCTATCTATTTGCCATGAAGTGATAGGACTGGATGCCATGATCTTTGTTTTTTAAATGCTGAGTTTTAAGCCAGCTTTTTCACTCTCCTCTTTCACCTTCCTTCATCAAGAGGCTCTTTAGTTCCTCTTCACTTTCTGCCATAAGAGTGGTGTCATGTGCATATCTGAGGTTATTGATATTTCTCCCCACAATCCTGATTCCAGCCTATGCTTCATCTAGCCCAGAATTTCACATGATGTACTCTGCAGGTAGCAACAGTTAGAACTGGACATGGAACAACAGATTAGTTCTAAATAGGAAAAGGAGTACGTCAAGGCTGTATATTGTTACCCTGTTTATTTAACTTATATGCAGAGTACATCATGAGAAATGCTGGGCTGGAAGAAGCACAAGCTGGAATCAAGATTGCCAGGAGAAATATCAATAACCTCAGATATGCAGATGACACCACCCTTATGGCAGAAAGTGAAGAGGAACTAAAAGGCCTCTTGATGAAAGTGAAAGAGGAGAGTAAAAAAGTTGGCTTAAAGCTCAACATTCAGAAAACCAAGATGATGGCATCTGGTCCCATCACTTCATGGGAAATAGATGGGGAGACAGTGGAAACAATGTCAGACTTTATTTTTGGGGCTCCAAAATCACTGCAGATGGTGACTGCAGCTGTGAAATTAAAAGGCGCTTACTCCTTGGAAGGAAAGTTATGACCAACCTAGATAGCATATTAAAAAGCAGAGACATTACTTTGCCAACCAAGGTCCATCTGGTCAAGGCTATGGCTTTTCCAATGGTCTAGTATGGATGTAAGAGTTGGACTGTGAAGAAAGCTGAGCACCGAAAAATTGATGCTTTTGAACTGTGGTGTTGGAGAAGACTCTTGAGAGTCATTTGGACTGCAAGGAGATCCAACCAGTCCATCCTAAAGGAGATAAGTCCTGGGTGTTCATTGGAAGGACTGATGCTGAAGCTGAAACTCCATAACTTTGGCTACCTCATGCGAAGAGTTGACTCATTGGAAAAGACCCTGATGCTGGGAGGGATTGGGGGCAGGAGGAAAAGGGGACAACAGAGGATGAGATGGCAGGATGGCATCACTGACTCAATGGACATGAGTTTGAGTAAACCCCGGGAGTTGGTGATGGATAGGGAGGCCGGGCCTGGTGCAATTCATGGGGTCGCAGAGTCAGACACGACTGAGCGACTGAACTGAACTGAACTCTGTATATAAGGTAAATAAGCAGGATGACAAATAGCTTTGACATACTCTTTCCCAACTTTGAACCAGTCCATTGTCCATGTCCGGTTCTAACTGTTGCTTCTTGACCTACATACAGGCTTCTCAGGAGGTAGGTAAGGTGGTCTGGTATTCCTTTCTCTTTAAGAATTTTCCAGTTTGCTGTGATCTACACAGTCAAAGGCTTTAGCATAGTCAATGAAGCAGAAGTAATATTTTTCTGGAATTCTCTAGCTTTTTCTATGGTCCAACAGACATTGGCAGTTTGATCTCTGGTTCCTCTGCCTTTTCTAAATCCAGCTTGTACATCTGGAAGTTCTTGGTTCACATACTGTTGAAGACTGGCTTGAAGGATTTTGAGCATTACTTTGCTAGCATGTGAAATGAGTGCAGTTGCTCGGTAGTTTGAAGATTCTTTGGCATTGCCCTTCTTTGGGATTGGAAGATTGTGTAGGATTTTCCTACACTCCATTTCAAATGTGGTATATGCTGATTACTTCTCATGCCAAACCGGCTTCTTCTGGTCTTCTCCATCCTGGTAAGTGTCAACTCTATCTTTTTCAAAGTTCAGTCCAAAATCTTAGAATATATGCTTGACTCCTCTCTTTCCATTATACTCTATCCAACCCATCAGCAAACTCTGCTCGCCTGACCTTCAAAATACATGCAGCAGAACCCAATTACTTCTCAACATTTCCACTCACTACTACTCTGGCCCAAGCAACCATAATTTCTTGCCTGGTGTCCCTTGCCCCCTTGGAGTCCATTATCTACACGTTGGCAAGAATGATCCTGCTAAAACATAAGTGAAATTAGTCCAGTCTTCTGTTCACAACCCTCCATTACCTTCCCTGAGCACCTCGGGAAAAGCTCCAAAGGACCTGGCCACTCTGCTGCCCCTTAGCCTTCATCTCCCTCCAGCCCTCTTGCTCACTCTCCTCTAGCCACACACATTCCTTGTGCTTCTTCAAGCAAGCCAGGCACTCTCTCATCCCAGGAACTTCATTTTTGCTCTATCCTGATCCTGGAATTCCCATTCCTCACACAGCAGAGTGTCTGGTTTCCTTACCTCCTTCAAGTTTCTGTTAAAATGTTCACCTTCCCTGAAGCCCCTGTGAAAAACTGCAGCCATGCCTCCAGTCTGCTGCCCCTCATCCCAGCAGTCCTTACTCCCCTTTCCTTAACGTATTTTCCTCCATGGTACTCAAGCTTTCCGACACACACACACTGCCCATTTATCTTCCCCCACTAAAGTGCAAGCACCTGAGAGCAGAAATTTGGTGCATCCCTTGCTGTATTCCCACCATGAAAGCAGCATACAGTGGGTGGGTAATACAGATTCACTGACTGCATGAATTTTCTTGGGTGAAAACAGCCTTTAAAATGCTTAAATATTTTATCTCTGAACATACATGATTTCCTAATTTCTTTATTTAAAATACTAAAGCCAATATTTTTTTGTTTCTATCGTCCTATAGGTGACACAAATTGAAAGCTATTCCTATTCTCTGACTTGTGGGGATAACATAATGGAAATTGGAAAGCTCAATGGATGTTGGGAAGCTCATGAAGAAAAAAAAAATCCCTTAATTTTACTTTTCCAAATTTAATCTTATTTTATGTATATGGATCATACTATACACTCTCTATTTGTAATTGAATTTAATTCATTCAGCAATGTAATCAGATATCTTCCTATGAAAATAAATCTTACTTTATTACATCAAATAAAATAAAGATTTTTAATTCAGATGTTTAGAAAGAATAATCAAAAGATTTAAAAATAAGCAAACAGCACTTTTTCAATAAGCATATGTGAAAATACACTGTTTATATCTGCATAACATACAGAATACTTTGGAAATGGCCAAGAGATAGGGACATGGCCAGTTGTTTCTTAGCAATCAAACAGAATCAAGCTGAATACAATGTTTTAGGAAATTGTGGCTTTGTGGAGACAGGCCTAGCCCAGCTGTCATTAAGTCATAGCTAGTAAGGTATGTTGCATGCTTATACCAATGGGAGAATGCCCCCTTCAGAAAAGTAAGTTGTGTATTATAAGGCGACTCCTTAAAGGACAGAATATAAGGCAATGAGGAGCCACAAAGACAAGGTTAGACCTACCTCACCATGCAACCATGGGCTAGTCGTTCTGCTGTCCTTACTGTAAAAGGCGACACAAGACACAGATGCGGAGGTGGCGGGAGAGATAACCATGATAGACGTAAAGTGGGGGAGTTATGAAGACCAAAGAGAATCTTTATCAGACAAAGTCATCATCATCATCATCATCATGAGGAGGGAGGAGAAACAAGAAGTAGAGAGAGAGAAACACAAAAAAGTATCTGAGGTGGTTCTATCCATGGGCAAGAGCAGGAACAGTCTCAAATTAAGGCCCATGCAGAGCAGCCTAGAGAGGAACACAAGAGAGCAATTAGGACGCCTTCAGCAGGACCATACATAGTCGCCCAGTCGTGTCCAATGGTTTGTGATGCTATGGATTGTAGCACGCCAGGCTCCGCTGTCCAAGGAATTTTCCAGGCAAGAACACTGGAGTGGGTAGCCATTCCCTTCTCATTTGGCCCAGAGATTAAATATGGGTTTAACTCGGGCTCAAACTTCTCCAGAAATTAAAAGTGGGGATTAAAAGAAATTATGCCATCTGAAACTGGAGAATAAAGACAGTATGGAATGGCTGTAATCTCCAAATTTAAGGCCTGCCTACCAGGAGAGTATTTGGACCAAAGGCACTGATGACAATCCAGGAGTGGCTGAATGTTGCTTTTCCCCTGAATCTTGCAGTTCAACACTGTGCCAGAGAATAAAATGCAACCCATAAGTATGAGTATATACGTAATTTAAAATTTTTACTAGCCACATTTTTTAACTGAAATGAAACAGGTGAGCTTAAATTTAATAATATATTTTAGCACAATATATTCAACATTTTATCACTTTACTTGTGTAATTAATACGAAAAGAATTATTGAGCTATTTTATATTCTTTTTTCAGAGTACTCTTTCAAAAACCCTTGATATATCTCATACTCACAGCACATCTCAATTCAGACTAGCTCCATTTCAAGTGCTTAGGAGCAACATGTGGCTAGCGGCTGGTACCATAGACAGTACAGGCACACAGTGTACATATGCACGTGTGAGGTCACTATTCCTTTTATGTTATTAAGAGAGCTCACCTATTCAGCATCCAGATTGTTCCTTAAGTTGTCATCTTTAATACATTTTAGTCATGCATTAAACGTCCTAAAAGTGGGCCAAAAAGGAAAAGATAACACTTGATAAACAGATGTAATTTTTTTTTTTTAAAAAGGGTAGGATCTTAGGATATCCTCTTGGATACAGAAATATACCCCCTTTATAATGCCTGGCACAGCAGTGAAAAGACAACGTGAATTCTATTTACTAGATAAGATAGAGAACTGTACTACATTCTCGCCAAGAAATGATACCGATGATTTCACAGTGGATATTAAAGCAGTACAAGAGTGACTTCAATAGTAAAACAGAACTGAAGATGAAAAAAGGAAAGCTTACTTAAATCTGTAGCTTTCTCGCTTATTATTCACAAATCCATCTGCCAAGTCACGAGGTAATATGATTTCCAAGCTAGGTGTTAATTTTTCATCTTCATCTATGGAATAAATCTGCAAATATGAAGATAATAAATGAATATAAAATGATGAAATTACAAGTTGAACAATGACCATGTTATTATGACATGTTTTGTAATAGTATTTTAACAACTGTACTTTTCATATAAAAAGTCATAACATAACACAACTTGGATAATTTTCCTGTTTAAACTCTGAGCACACTCAAACAAATATATGGAACTGAACAAAAAATAAAACCTAAATCAATGCCTAATCAAAGCTCAGATCCTCTTTGAATGATCTAATACTCAAATTTGAGTCTTTGAGTGTCTGTCTCCATTGTAAAGAAAGTAATAGCCCTGACAACAACATATTCTCTAAGTATTGCTTTGGAATTATGTACCAGAAATTAACATTTTACTACAACCAATAAGCATTTCTCAGCATTTACAAAATGCTAGACACAGAGATGAAAGGCCTGGGTCTGAGCCTTCTCAGAGAGCTCACAAGAATGCCCTAATTCAAGTTATGTTCAAAGAAGCCCGAGTTTCCATGAGACATATTTAAGCATTTGATAAAAGACATGTGGTTTCAAAAGACACATGTAATTCACGTCTTTGATGTCATTTTCTAGGTTCTCCTCCCAGTTCAGCCACTAATTAGAAAATGACCTGAGAGAAATCACTTAACCTCTTTAAGCAGATAGGGAAATGAAGGGTCTTAACCAACCCCTTTACAACTGTAATATTCTGATTCTCTTCTTGGTTATCTACCCCTTTACTTATTGTCCAGGAAAAGCAAGAGTCCAGCCTATAAACAGATCATAGGGAATAAACAGAAGTCTACAATTTGATGTCCAAAGACCTGGGTCTAACACTGATCTCAGTTTACCAGCTGTGTGACCAGTCACCACTTTTAGCATCTCAGTACATACATAAGATGAAGAAAACAGAATCGCCTCCATTACAAGATTGCTGTGGGGATCAAATGATGTCATGGAAATGGAAGCATTTTGTAATGCACCATAAAAAATGTTAGTCATTAGGTTTAGAGGTTTTTAAAAAAGACTTCTTGTCTTTCACCAAGAAATAAAATTCTTTCTAACAAGCAATACTTCCTGTTTAAGACCCATTTAGATGCTTGATTATGGGGGGAAAGTCATATTCTGAAATAAGTAAAAAGCCTACCTAAATCTCCAGAAAGTCTGAATAATTTTCCTAAGCAGATTTTTATTGAGCTCTCTCATTTAAAATGTGAGGAATTCATGTAAGAAAAGTCATGCTGTAAAATAAAATTATTCATAGAAAGTTATGGCATCAGGTCCAAGGCTTTCTGGTTAGATTTTCTCAAGAGACATTTAAAAATTATATTCTATTGGGCACTACATTGTTTTCTTAAAAAGGTTAATGGTTAGACAGGTGAGTGTAAGGGTGAGTAAGACAAAAAAGCATACAGGAGTGAGGGATGCCATACATTTTTTAAAAACCTGTAACAGTACTCAGAAGACAAAAAGAGCCAGTAACTATTAACAAAGTAGGAACAGTGACTTTCCACTCCTCTCATTAAGCCATTCTTTGAGGCATTAAGAAAAGTCCACAACAAGAAAACTTGTTTAGTCTAATAGACTGGCTTTCTACTGTTAGTCATAAAAATATTTGAGATGGAGCTGTTCTTTAATAGGAGACAATTAAACCAAATGCAAGGATGAATATGAAGATATTTCAAAATATACAAAGCACTATGCAAATGAAAAGCACTGCTACTGTTAAAATTATCACAGAGGGTCATCTTATGTATCTTTTACTAATCTATAAATTATCATCATTTAATTTATAGGGTCTCAGGGAGTATGATTAATGAAGTAACAGAGCCACAAAATAAAGAAGAAAAAAAAATACTTTGAGTCACTCTTAGTTTAATGCTACAAGGGGTATATCTAATCAGAGAAACAACCACACAATCTTTGGGAGCAAAAGAACAGGGTGCTAACAGTGGGATTTCTAAGGAAGGGTAGGGATACACTAATTCAAAAGTCGTTCATCTGTGTTCTGTGATTTTTCTGTACATGGCATAATGTTGCAACTCAGTAAGAATCTAGCATTATTAAAGTACAACATGATACCTAAAAATATTTCATGGAGTAGCAAACAAGACACTCCACAGAATCTCACAGAAGAAATGCAAAAGAAGGCACATTTAAAAAATACAAAGATTGCACTTTAAGGAAAGAAGTTCAAGTTAAATCCAATGTTCTCTATCAACTCCCCACCTCGGTCCCACCTGTATCCATCCTGTCACATGATCACATCCAAGCACCTGTTTCTGACTGCTGAGTCAATATAGACATGTTCAGTATTTTTAGCTAAGAATCCGGGGGTGGGAATGGGGGAAATTGTGGGTGTGGGGGTAATTTTTATATGTGATGTACTTAAAAAAAACCTTGTAAGTGAATGTAAGAGGAGAAAAAAAGGGAAGATACTCAATGGTTGCTTTCCATACTCTATATTCCTTAAATTTTTAAAATGCCACACTTAAGAGTGTTTTCATGCATCTTTTCCTAACCGTATTCCATGAATGAAAAGACTGAAGATGAAAACAATGACAAGACACTATATTCTCCTTGTTTTAAATATATAAATTTACATGCAGCAAATCTTAAATTATGAGCTGCTATGATATTACATGGACTTCCCTTGTGGCTCAGCTAGTACAGAATCCGCCTGCAAGGAGGGAGACCTGGATTTGATCCCTGGGTTGGGACGATCTCATGGAGAAGGGAAAAGCCACCCATTCCAGTATTCTTTCCTGGAGAATTCCATGGACTCTATAGTCCATGGGGTCGCAAAGAGTCAGACATGACTGAGCGACTTTCACTTCACATGATGTTACATGGGCTTCCCAGGTGGCTCAGTAGTAAAGAATCCACCTGCCAATGCAGGAGACAGAGATACTGGTTTGATCCCTGAGTCAGGAAGATCCCCGGGAGAAGGAAATAGCAACACACTCCAGTATTTGTGTCTAGGCAATCCCATGGAGAGAAGAGCCTGGTGGGCTACAGTCCATGGGGTCGCAAAAGAGTCAGACACAACTTAATGACTAGACAACAGCAAACGTTGTTACATATATACATACACTCTTTGTAGATAATGGAGATAAAATATTATTAAAAATATACCCATTCCAGAGACTCATGAATATGACTCAGATGGCCATTGCCTATATCCTTATTTTCTGAGGCAGAAAGGTTTTGTCCCAAAAGCTTTGGAATAAAAAAAATCCTTAATTAAAATCAGGGTTCTGCCACTCACCAGGTGGCTGGCTGAGCCAAATTATTTCACCTGTCTGAGACTCAGCTTCCTCATCTATAAAATGAGGAAAACATCAGCCTTGCAGGGTTTTCATGAAACTCGGGGATAATGCAGACAAAGGATCTAAGTGGTAAGAATGAATACGCTCCTTCCCAAGGAAAGAAAACAATGTTTTGAAACATCTGAGGAGCATTCAAAGTATTTCTGCTCAGAGTAGGATCATGCCTTAGCCTCCTTTGTACACTTCTGAGCTTAGCATCCTTGAGGAAACGCCAAGTAAATGCTCAGTTAATGTTTTCAGAATAAAAGGTATGTACATTCTTTGTGTAAGTTGCATACATACCTGTTTACATCTGTAACGAGTGTATGTCAACGTTTGTGTTCAGAATGACAATATAGTCAAAAAACCCTAAGGGCCCACTGCGCGAGAACCACCGTGTGGCTTTTGTGTGTCTCCATCTGTATCTATCATCCGTAACATCTTAGACGTGTGTAGACACTATCTCTGGCTTGCACGTTTTGCCCGAGAGTGAAACAGAAGTTTGAAAGCACTGGGTGGGCAGAGCTGCGTGACTGTTTTCGAGAAAAGTGCAATAACGGCGCACAGCTGAGGCTAGCCTATGATCACGCATACACGCAGATGTACATGTGCGTGCACGGGTCTGCAGCTGCGTGAACACGTGTGTCCCGGAGTACACAGGTGGTTCCCTGCAGGTTAATCGGGGCCCGCAGGTCTGTGTCGGATGGAAACGGGCTGAGTGCCTGTCTGTCCGCGCCCCCTGACAGCAAAGTGTTGGCGTCTGTGGGCTGCTCCAGTGCTAGAACCGAGTGTGCTGGACGCCTGGCCGCATCCCGCGCCGGGCGCCGAAGCCCTCACCCGGGCCGGGGACCCTCGCGTGCCGCCCCTCCCCCGGCCTGAGAGGCCCCGCCGCGCCGGCGCCCGTGCTGCTCCGACCCGTACCCCTTGCTGCTGCTTCCGGACAGTGGGCTTCACCCTGGCGAAAATTTGGATCGTCTGCTTCACCATCTCCTTCTCGGCTCTTGCACTGACCCTTGACCTCTCTCAGGCACTGGCTCCCAAAACTTCTGACTCCCGCGGCCTCAGGCAAGCCGTAGCCTTGGCAACAGTAACTAGGGACACTACCCATGGAGCACCGCGCCAACCAGGACCGCCTCCTCTCCCTAATTGGTTGCCGACAGGTGGGAAGGCCCGGAGGGAGGGATTAGGACGGGGGCGGGGCCTGGGGCGGGGCCGAGGACTGGGCGGGGCCACGCGGAGAGAGCTGCGCGTGCGCGTGGTCACGTCTGACCCCTGGCTTAGTGCCAAAGCTAGACTGGAGTGTTGTTAATGGGGTGACAACCGTTATACCTTGCCCGTTCTCTAATCCATTCTTTCTCTCTGCCAACACCTCTTTTTAGCACTGAAGTTCTGTTTTTTATTATTCATTTATTGAAAAGATGGCACTTGATTTGTGACAGCAATGTACTGCCTGGGGATTCTGAGCTAAGCAAAAACTTCCTGTGTCCACTTGGAGATTAGAGTCTGATGAAGGAGACAGAATTTTAATGGGAAATCACAAGTTAAGACGGGGTAAAGCCGAGTCCTGTGGAAGGGCACCTTATCTAGTTATATTTTGGAAGAGACCAAAACTGGAGGAAGGGGGACTATTTCCCACGCAATAGTCCTGTCATGAAAGGATGGGCTCTGGTGTGCACTGTGGTGGGAATGTGAGTTGGTACAGTCACTATGGAAAACAGTGTGCATGGGCCTTAAAAAATTAAAAATAGAACTGCCATGTGATTCAGCAATTCTACTCCTAGGTATATATACAAAAGAATTGAAATCAGAGAGATAGGTGCACTCCCAAATGCACCAGAAATATTAACCAAGATATGAACCAACCTAAATGCCCACTAATGGATGAATGGAAAAAGAAAATGTGATATACATATGAATATTATTTTATATATTGTTTTATATCTATAGTGGGGGTGTATATGTATATATGAATATTATTCTGCCAAAAATATAAGGACATCCTGCCATTTTAACAACATGGATGGAACTGGAGGGTATTATGCTTGGTGAAATATGTTAGAAAAGACAAATACTGTATGGTCTCACTTACATGTGGAATCTAGAAAAGTTGAACTCATAGAAACGGAGAGTAGAATGGTGGTTTCCAGAGGCCAGGAAGTACGGGAAATAGGGAAATACTGGCCAAAGGGTAAAAAGCTCCAGTTATAAGTTCTGGGGACTTAGCGTACAGCATGGAAACTTTGGTTATATAGTTGCTAAGAGAGTAAATCTTAAATGTTCTTACCAGGAAAAAAAGGAATTATGTGAGGTGATAGAGTTGCTGAGTGGCTTTATTGTGATAATCATTTCACAATATATGCATGATCAATTTATCACATCATATACTTTAAGCTTATATGTCAGTTGTATCTCAGTAAATCTGGAAAAGAAGTAAATAAGAAAATAATAAAAAGAAAAGATGGAGTCTTCAAAAGACACTGTTAACCCATGAAAAGTTGTTCCACCAAGGTGATACATGTTAAAAAACCACAATGAGATATTGCTACATGGTTATCAGAATGGCTAAAATTAAAAATAGCCACAAAACAAGATGCTGACAAAGATATAGAGAAACTGAATCACTTGTGTATTACTGGTAGGAATGTAAAGTGTAAAACATATTGTGGATAATTGTACAATCACTCTAGAAAACCATTGAGTAGTTTCATACAAAACTAAAGATGCGGCTATTATAAAATTCAGTATTAATCCCAGAGAAATGAAAACATGTTCACACAAAAATCTATACATGAGCATATGTATGGCTAAGTCCCTTTGCTGTCCAAATGAAACTATTACAGTATTGTTAATTGGCTATACTCCAATATAAAATTAAATGTTAAAAATTGCAGGAGACCCAGGTTCGATTCTTGGGTGGGAAAGATCCCCTGGAGAAGGGAACGCAATCCACTCCAGTATTGTTGCCTGGAGAGTCCCATGGATAGAGGAGCCTGGCAGGCTACAGGCCATGCGATCTCAAAGAGTCAGACACTAAAGAATGACTGACACTTTCACTTTCTTTCATTAAAAAAAAAACAAAAAACAGAAAGTGTTCATAGAAGCTTGAACAGGGGTGTTCATAGCAGCTTCATTCATAGTAGCTCCAAGTTGGACAGAACTCCTATGTCCTTCAACCACTGAATGGCCAGACAAACTGTGGAATACTATTCAGCAATTAAAATGAAGAAATTACTGACACATATAACTACATGGATGAATTTCCAGGGAATTATGCTGAGTGAAAGGAATCAAACTCAAAAGTCAAATACTGTATGATCCCATTTATATGACATTCTTGAAATGACAAAATTATAGAGATGGAGAGCAGATTAGTGGTTGCCAGGGGTTAGAGAGGCAGAGTAGGGGGCGGTGGCTGTGGCTATAAAAGGATCTTTGTGATGGATTGTTCTTTATCCTGACCGTGGTGGTCACAGAAATCTACATATGTGATAGCACCACACAGGAGGAGACATACACACACTCACTACATATAAACAGCTGAAAGTTTAGTAACATTGGATGAGATGGAGGGGTTGTATCCACGTTCATTCCTCAGTTATAATATTGTACTATAGTTATGCAAGGTGTTGCCAGTAGGAGGAACTGGGGGAAGAGGATGCCAGATCTCTCTGCATTATTTCTTGCAATTGCATGTGAATCTACAATTATCTCAAAATAAAAGGTTTAAAAAGAAACTCTTAGAGAATGAAAAGGCAAACCACAAACTGGGAGAACAGTCTTGCAAAACACATACCTGATAAAGGACTTGCATCCAGAATACTTTGAAACTCTTCAAACCTAATAATAAATAGGAAAACAAACTACCCCATTTATTTTTATAAAGAAGGATGTCAAAGTTTTAAACAGACACTTTCCCTTATAAGGGTGGCAGATACATGAAAAGATGTTCAACATAATTATAATGAAATAAAAATTAAAAACACAATCATTACACACCATTACACAACCTTTTAGAATGACTAAAAAGAAAATAAGTTGACACTAACAAGAACTGGCATGGATGCAGAGCAGTTGGAACTTTCAAGCATAGCAGGAGAGGGTGCAAGATGGACCAGCCACTTTGCAAAACAGCTGTTGAGTTTCTTAAATATAAAATTATTTATATACTTACCATGTAACCCAGCAATCCTACAACTCAGCATTTACCTAAGGGAATTGAAAACTGATGTTCACACAGAAAGGTAAACAGGAATGATTATCATGGTTTTATTCACAATTGCCCAAAGCTGGAAACAAAGCAAATGTTCTTCAACTGCTGAATGGATAAACAAACTGGTATGTCCACACAATAAAAAGGAATGGACTGCTGATGACTGTAACAACATAGTTGAACCTCAAATTTATAATGCTGAGTGAAAGATGCCAGACTCAAAGTTACACACTTTAAAATTCCATTTTTATGACACTCTGGAAAAAGCAAGACTATAGGGATAGAATCACTGACCAAATTAGTGGTTGCCAAGGGCTTGGGGGTAGGGAAAGAGATTGACTACAGATGAGCATGGTAGTTTTTGGAGGGTGATGGAATCATTTCACATCTTGATTTTAGTTTTGATTACATGTACAGTAACATCGTAAGTAGTCATAATCGGATGTGCGAGTTGGACCATAAAGAAGGCTGAGCACCAAAGAATTGATGCTTTTGAATTGTGGTGCTGGAGAAGACTCTTGAGAGTCCCTTGGACTGCAAGGAGATCAAACCAATCAATCCTAAAGGAAATCAATGCTGAATATTCACTGGCAGGGCTGATGTTGAAGCTGAATCTCCAATGCTTTGGCTACCTGATGTAAAGAACCAACTCACTGGAAAAGACCCTAATGTTGGGAAAGATTGAAGGCAAAAGGAGAAGGAGGGGGAGGCTGAAGATGAGATGGTTAAATAGCATCACTGACTCAGTGGGCATGAATCTGAGCAAACTCTGGGAGATAGTGAAGGAGAGGGAAGCCTGGAGTGCTGCAGTCTGTGGTGTCACAAAGGGTCAGACATAACTTAGTGACTGAACAACAACATTACTATGTACATTTGTCAAAAGTCGTGAAACTATCTATATACTTAAAAGGGTAAATTATACTGTATGTAAACTAGTATAAAAAAAGCAAAACAAAAATGAAAAATAGAGAATGGGGAATGAACAGGTGGGGCAGTAGCAAGGCTGGAGAAGAGGAGAGAACCAACTATGAAACAGATTTTAAGAATTTTTTTCACCTGGTGCTAAGTGGAAAGGAAGAAATGACTCAAGATTGGGCTGTTACATTGTTTTTATATGTTGGTTCTTGTGAATCATGCTGCTGGGTACATGTGGATGCAGATGTCTCTTCAAGATACTGGTCTCATTTCCTTCAGGTTTATTCCCAGAAGTGGAACAACCTTTGTCCACCCAGAAATAAATGGTCAAAGGTGTTGTGGCATGTGTACATACAATGGAGTATTATTCAACCATAAAAAGATGGAAGTCATGATTTGTAATAACATAGATGAAGGTAAGTGAAATAAACCCCACAGAGAAGGACAAACACTGTATAGTATCATTTATATATGGATTTTTTTTTAAGTCAAACTTATAGAAACACAGAGTAGAATGGTGGTTACCCAGGACTGGGGTGGGGTGGGGGATGGGGAGATGCTGGTGAAAGTTTCAGTTGTAAGATAAGTAAGTTCTGAGGACCTAATGGTACAGCATGGTGACTGTAGCTAATAATACTCTATTGCATACTTGGAATTTTTCTAAGAGGATAGATCTTAAGTGATCTCACCACAAAAAAATTTAAAAGTAGCTATGTGAAGCGATGAATGTGTTGACTGTGGTAAATATTCCATGATGTATATCAATATTAAATCATCACATCGAACACTTTAAATATAATGCAATTTTATTATATTTATAATATTTATACTTATAAAATACTATAAATATCATTTTAAATTA